CTCCAAACTGTGTGTTGCAATCTCCCCAAGGAGAGCATCATGTTAGAGTTGCCCCGTTGGTGACATGAGTCCGCCCCTGCTGGCCCTGGATGAACAAGGCCAGAGAAGGAGGAGAGAGTCGGAACTGGGTCCTGGGCAGGAGACCTTCCAGGGGCAGGGAGGGAGCACGGGCAGAAGACCCAGGCACCAATGCTGGCGGGATCGGCAGGCAGATTGAATGGGAAAGGGATGGGGCTCGGGAGGGGCGGAGGCCGGAAGCTGCCATGAGCGCCCCACTCCTCCCTGTGCCCTCCCTGAGGTCTGCTGGCGGTCAGTCCAGGGCAGCCCATTCCCTGGCTGAACCCGCTGGTTCCCTGGATTCCACCAGCCTTTGCCCTAAAGGCCCCCAAGATCGGGAAGAGGAAGTCACCCTTGGCAGGGGCTGCCTTGGAGGACCCAGCGGAGCCTGATGGCTTCCAGGGACTTCGGCTGCCCCGGAGAGATGGCTGGGAAAGGTCTTGGAGGCTCCTGTTTTTTCTTAGAAGCAGGGGGTGGGAGGGGACAGTTCCTGAACTGCAGAGTGTGGGGAGGAGAAGCTGATTCATCAGGATGAAAGCCCCCCACCCCCACCAACTCACAGGGGTTAGAAAAATTCACCCCTGACCTCAGTGGGGATGTTTTTCTAATCTTCACTGCTGCAGAGGGAAGCCAGGGAGGGTTTTTCCTTGGATCGCAGCTGGGGAGGAAGGGAAGTGCCGTGCTTTTCTGTCTGCAATTAATTGAATTCATTAATTAAGGGAAACCCTGAATTATTAGAGTGTTGCTAGGCAAGGATGGCCTGGAGGCCGCTGTTTCATTGACACAGATGTTTGGAGTGAATACGAAATGAGGGTTCAGAGGACAAATGCCTGAATGGATCCTGGTTCCCGATCAGGTTTTGGGGTTTCCTGCTGAGAAGTACAGTATCTCCCTGCCTTCTCCTTCTAGGTGGCCTCTCAAAAACCATCTCTTCCTAGCAGAGGGTGGCTGTAACTCGTCATCCCAGAGGGCTCTGAAGGATATTGTCAAAAGAGTCAGGTTGGCAGCCCCAGCAGTGTGATGGAAGCTCCGCCAGCAGAGCTCCAATTGCACCATTTCAGCTGCCACGTTGACTTTTTT